AGCGTGGCTCGGGGCGGGGGGAGGCCTCCGGGAGCTCCTTAGCTCTTCAGCAGGGCGAGGAGAAACAAGAGTCTGCCCCAGATGCCTCTCCGTTCCTGAATCAGGGTCTCCATGGCCCCAGGGGTGCGGTAGGAGTTTGTGCTGCTGCACCCGGGTCAGAGACTGCGGGTACTCTGCGCAGTTTCCTGACAGAAATACCCTCCCCCTGCGAGTGAGGAGCATTTCCAGTGGGCCAAGTTATTCCAGATCAGAAAAATGCCTTTTCCTGGTACATCAGCCTCCCAAAATCGCGATCAGCGTCAGGCAACACTCACCTGGGGTACTGTGTGCAGTCCTGGGCCCCGCCATTTCAGGAGGATGTGAAGGTGCTGGGGTGCACCCAGAGGAGGGCAACAGAGCTGGTGGTGGGGCAGGAAGGCACGTCCTGTGAGGAGCAGCTGAGGACTTTGGGTTTGTCTCATTTGGAGAGAAAGTGGCTGAAGGGCGACCTCATGGCTCTCTACAGCTTCCCAAGGAGGGGATGTGGACAGGGAGGTGCTGAGCTCTTCTTCATGGGATCCAGGGACAAGACGCATGAGAATGGCTCAAAGCTTCATCAAGGAAGGTTCAGACTTGACGTTAGGAAGCATTTCTATTACCGAGAGTGTGGTCAAACACTGGAACAAGCTTCCTAGAGAGGTGGTCAATGCCCCAAGCCTGTCAGTATTTAAGAAGCATTTGGACAATGTCCTTAATAACATGCTTTAACTTTTGGCCAGCCCTGAAGCGGCCAGGCAGTTGGACCAGATTGTCGTGGTCTAATCAGGACACAGATGATAATTTCAGGTCCCTTCCAACTGAATTATTCTGTTTATTTCCTACACACCTGGAAAGACATATTTAGAAGCTTTGTTAAGCCTTTTGACATAAAATGGTTAGAGGCACTGCAGAGTTGACAATGTTAAGTGTGAAAAAAGTTAGGGCCTTTTATGCTCAATTTCCTTTCTAGTACTAAGTCCACCTAGTCTGCTTTATGTTTGCACTTACACATTAGCTTGCTTTTATTTAAAAAATGCCATGCTCATTTCAACTCTGCAGCAATCTTTCTTCTCCCAGCTCATGCCTGTCCCTCTCTGATCACTCCCTCTCCCCTGACCCATCTCGTGCTGGCGGACTGGTGCCTTCTGATATTTGGATACCAGGAATCATCCCTGAAGGCTTTGCTCAGTTCCACTGACTAAACAAGGCATGTCCAAAAGGTGATGGTACAAGAGCACACGTGTCTGTTGAATCAGCTCACATTCAGCAGCAGTCACAGGCCCTTTATGAACACAGGATGCAAACATGGCTCCAAACAGAGCGTGGCCACAAAAAGTGAGTTGAAGAATGCAAGAAACAAACTTCTGTCTCTTGCTTTCCCATTGTATACACGTCTGACGCATAAAGCTGCCTCATACCTGTGGAAAGCTGGTTAAATTTGTTACATGTCAAACAGCAATGACTTCTGCAAAGGGAACTGAAGACCTCCGTGAAAAGTTAATCCTCGTCTTTCACTGCACTTGCAGTTTTCATGAGATTCCTCTAAGGAATGACATTTTGAGATGACGCTGCTGACTTAGACTGCTGTGGATAATAACTGTGCTGTTACTGTTCTATTTATCCTCTTAAGAAGTTCTGGCAATGACTAACTGATGCCTTGAGTTAGTCAGACATCCACCCTTTTAAATGATTGATAGGTGCATGAGCAAGCTTACCATAATCCTACTTGAATAGAAAATGGTGTCATCCTGAGCTGCTACTTGTGAAATTTCACTCCTGTTTCACCCTAAAGGATGCTTCACTTTTTTCAGAAATCTGAAACACTGACCAAACTAATTCTAGCACGATGCAAGCTTGGTGTGTTAAAGTAACTTTTTCTACAATGTGCAAAATATTCATTCTCACTTACTTTATTACAAACAAAATGTTTAGTAATAAAATATTTATTTGCTTCCTGCCTGCTGTCATGCATGTAAAATCTCACCAGAGTGGTGCAAAATCAATTATAAAGTCAGATTTTGTGTTTGCAACAGAAACCTTTTGCAGAAACTTTCTTGTGCTGCATACCACAATGTCATTTTTGGCTTGAAAGTTCAGGTTACAAAAAACATTTCTTAACAACGCTGCTAGAGGAACTGCAGTCACAAAACCATTCTTTGTACAGCAGCCTGTAACGGCCACTGATGGCTTTTGCTGTGCTTCAAGGAAAGTGATTCAAGTGCTTCTCAGGAACACTGCTAAGAGAGGAGCTCTTCCAGGCCATTTCCAACAATCGGCTGAATGATACCAACTGTGGATCACATGTGCCCTCTGGTGGTCAGTGTTCTGCTACCTCATACTACAGCTGTGGTGCTCTACTAAACGGAGATGTCAAAGAAAAGAAATGATAAGATTACCTCGCCTTCTAATAACTTCCAGAGATGCTGAGCACATGCAGATGACTTTGCCTGAGTTCAATAAGCCAGCAGCTCAAAAGACCAGGGCACACACTTAGTTGCCAAAATACAGCTTTACATGCTTACACACCTAAGCTCTGACATCTGTCTTGAGCTTTTTCTGCTCATTTCCTGTTTTTCAATGCCTAAAAGATGCTTAGTGCCTGGAAAAAAAAAAAAAAAAAAGAAGAAGAAACCAAGGACACAAGCGTAGAAGTGGCTAGACACACAACTGCTTGATAAAAGAACGCTACTTACTGCATTAGAAACCCCAGACATTGCAAACGCCCAGCAATGACTACTCTCCTATACCAGGATTTTGCTTTTCAGGGCAGGTGATTGCTAACTGGGTGTCATTTTCAAAACAAGTAGAACATTTGTTTTTTTTTTAAAGGGATTACTTCTTTCTGGGCTTCATCTTGCAGAACTGTCTGGTGGAGGAACGGTGTGAGCTTGGCAGACACTCTGTGATGCTGCAGATATGCAGGACAGAGCAATTGTGCACATCAACCTCACCTACAACATTCAGGAAGTGAGAGAAACAGCTGTGGCAACTGACCGAAATATTTCCATGTTTGCAATAGACAGCAACAACACACATCCGGAAACATCTTCCTGCATATTTATATTGGCAGAGCGCACTCATGGCCACATCGTTCACTCATTTCTGTTGTTTCAGTCCCACATAAAACACCTTCTAGTAAAGCCTTTGTTTCCTGGTGGCTTATGCAAATTGGTTTTGCTTCATTTTCATGTTTGTTTATTCCATGCAATGGAGAAGAGCATACTTTTAGGGAACCCTGTCAAGAGCTAAATTCATTTCAGATGCTTCATAGACAGACTTGTTTGGCAGCAAAATGTTGCTTTCCTGGAGCTGGAAATACTCACCTGCAGAGTAATAGGTGAGTAATATTTGTGTTCCTGCTTGGCGTGCTTTATTTGCGTGGTCATTCTCCCTCCATTACCTGGTCTCAATCAAAGAAGAAAGAAACAAACCCAAAAACCAGACAGATCCAAAACCTGGATTTTAGCAAATCCCTAGTGTAAAGCCAGACAAAGCAGATACAATTCTTTGTGATTTTAACAGTGTATTCTGAAGAGTTCTGGCTTCAGTAAGCATTTCACAGTCAAGATTGCCTCAGCCTGCACCTTTCTTTTAGCTCTGCATTACATCTTGTATGCCTTCTGGCAAAACTCAACCAGCAGAAGACTGGCACTTCACTACATCACATTTCTGTCCATCACAGTGTACACAAGGTATCCTAACCAAAGTAAGTATTTTAAATGAAAACATTCAACCAGGGAAAGGAGATGAACAGAAATCTTTCTTTGCCACAGTACTGCAGACTATTAAATAGAGGTGTTTGGCTGAGAAATGACTGAGAGTTACATGGCAATCTTCAAGATTGCTTAAGACTCTACTAAGTAAATTAAAACTAAGCATTTGAGAAGTCTAGACAGGGCTATAAAGCTTAAAAATGTCTCTTGGCTGTTTAAATCATGACACTGAGAACTAACTTCAGTGACCAGTAGTTTTTGTCTTATCGCAGTAAATACTCCTGTGGTCAGAAGGCCTGTGCTTGACTGATCTATGGTCAAAAGCTGTGTTGAAAAGTTGATATAATTGCAATCAATACAGAAAACTTGGTGTTGTGGGGTTCTTTTTCTACATAGACAGATAAAAAACCCAGGCATTTACTGTTTTTATTTGGCTTGCGAAAACGTCAAATGTGATCCGACAGAATAAGTAAAAAAGATTACTTGCTATACAGAGTCAGGTACCAGAACTGCTCAACCAAACCATATCTTTAATCAAATAAATTCATATACATAATGACCAAGCCTAGACATGCTTCAAACTTGCTGCACAGATCTGCTGGACAATACAATTAAAATGTTGTCAATTGCAAGGCCTCATTATTGTGGTCTCAAAATCACTTCAGAGACACTCATTTTTAGATTCCAGGCATCCCTGGAAGCCTGTGAAATGCTGCTGTTTCTGTTTTTCAGATGGGACTGAGACACTCGGTAGTTAAGATCAAACTAAGACAGAGTAGAGAGCTGAATCCAAATGGACACAGATTCTTCAGTGCAGATGTCCAGCTTCCCAATGTTCAACATGCTTGGTTCTCTATGCGGCATTCCCACTTTCTCAGTTCAATGGGATGCAATCAAATAAAACTCCAGTTGTGAGGAACAGCTCCATTGCTAGAATAATGGAAAACAGAGTAAGTGCAGACAAAGAAAAATGTGCTGGTTTACTCAAAGATGAACATATTTGCCTTGAGCATATACAAACCAATGTGCAAAACAGCTGAGATGATACCAGATCAGACAGGACAGATAAATCTTAATGGCCTAACTATGCAGTGCTTTCTACACATACACAGCTACAAACATGCGAAGATCCCTAGCAGGAAGCTGTACAGCTCTGAATACAAACCTCTAAGCATATTCATGATTTCAGTATTAACAGCTGGACTCAATTCACAGAAGACGCTCAGACTAGCTCTGTACTGAAAAAAAATCCAGAGGCCAAACTGCCGCTGTCAGTAATTCATGGCCACCGACTTTGCCTTAGAATCTAGCACTTGCTGCAGAACTTGTGCTCCAGACTCCACATGTCCATTTAGCACCAATGTGTTCAGGTAAGAACAAACATCTTTAAAGATTAGAAAGTGCAAAACAATGCTGTGTTGTCTGTCTATAGCCTGAAGCAGCTGGGGAGCAGAGGAATAGCCTGTGCCTGTTCATTTCAGTGGGGGGAATCTTGTAATTGTAAATGTATTTTGAGTTTTGCAGATCTCAGTATTAACATCAAACATTTTACAGAAAGTAGTCCTTTATGGAACTAGATTATGTGCTTATTTGATAAATCCGAATTTCCTTCCTGTTCCTTTCCAAAAGCCTTGACAACTGCAAGTACCTCCAACTTCTGTAAGCTAACTTCTACAATGGAATTCAGCTAAAGCAAGCCCATATCCAGCAGCACATGGGATTCTGCCCTGAGCATATTCAAGTCAATATGAACCTCAGTTTTTATCCAAACTCATTACACTTTACTGCACTGACAAATGCAACAGTGCAGAGACCTTGCCGCAGGAATTGGCTCCAAGCTCCTATGAAGGTCATTGAGTCCTTACAACTGAGAGAAACATTGATCTGATCAAGTCTCACAAACAAAATAGGTCTCAGAAAGCCTTAGCAAAACCCAGGTTAATCACAATCCCAGGTTGTCAGCACTGCTCCTGAGTCCCCTTTGCTGTGTTTCTTCAGAACAAACATACACAGTGATGCTCTCTGTACTACATAGCATAGAAAATTACAGGCTTATATGGGAGATGCTAGAATGGCCTCTGTCTAATGCATGGAGGATAAAAACTTGATTTTGAACTCATCACATGGACAAAGACATCTAATTACTCAAGAACCCATGCTGATGGGCCAATTCTGTACTTTCTTGATTCCAGGTAAAGTTGTGTGGTATTCAACTTGCTGTGGATAACTCTAGGTATCTCTTCACGAAACCACAGCTAGGCAAGCAGTTTAAAGAAAACGCTAGGCACCAGACTTTTTACTTAGTTGCCTTTCTGCATGCTCAGTGATAAATGACATTATCCTCCCAAGAAGAAAAGATAATGCTGTGGAGAAAGATGCATGGGACCACCCTTTTCCAATATAAATTCCTTATTCTTGTGATACAAGTGATCTCTTGAAGTGTCCTTCAAAAGACCTTAAAACATACCAATGACCCAGGTTAAATTCAATTTATCTTGGAATAGTTCTTCACAGCTATTTTTAACTTTGTACACCAAAAATCTTGTATTTATGTACAGTTGGCTAAAATAACTATACATTCTCTGTTCAATACAGAGAAATTAACTCAGTGCAACTCTTTGAATATCATGTTAGCCTGCTCTGACTCCTGATACACCTTAAGAGAGGTTAAAACTCCAGCCTGAAGTTGCTTCTGCAGACATTTGGACAGGTCCTTCATACCACTTCCATGGCAAATGCATACTCTTTGATTTCTTCTAGCTCCTTAACACCTTTGTTAAATGTGCTGCAGATAACAAAGAAACAGAGGTAATAGTCTAAAAAAACCCTTAGTGTGAAGGATTGTCTCTTGTCTCCTTCCCTTAGAAGTCAAGCAGTGAACGACAGACAGTGAATTCTTTCAATGGTAAATGGTGTTGCCTCATTCTTGCTTGTTCCCCATATCTAACAGGAATATTCTTATTTCACCTGAATTTATATTTGGTTGTGCGGCAGTTGCTATGCCCTGCTGCCATTCATTTGTACTCCTCCAAAGGTGCAGGAAAACAGGAGATATCTAATATTGGCTTCAAAATGATGCCTTAAAAACTATGGTAAAATAAGGTATTATTCCCTCACACTGTCAGAGAAGAAATTTCATGAACTATCCTCAGTATCTCACCTTAATACTTATTTAAAATACATACTGGAATATGTGAAGACCCTTTAAATAGACAACAGACCATTTATTATAACTGATTAGCATAATACTTTAGTTTACCTGTCAAAATGCTGGTTTTAATCCAATTCTTTATGGAGATTAACATCGGGATGTCAGTCTTCATGGAATTCAGTACATGTCACAGGCCCAGGGAGGAAAAAGATGTAGAATAAAACTGCAACTGGCTATTCCTTCTAGAAGAAAGGAATTGGTACTCAATTTGTCATTTAGGCCAAATTAGCACATTGCTGGACAGCTAACCAGGCTGCTGTAATTCCCAAGACCAATCAGAACACTTTGGAGTACCCCATTCCCTTCCTTTAGCATTGCAGAGAGGTCCCTTGTTCCTTGCTTTGTGATTCCTTTTGCCAGAGGATAAGTGAGGGAACACAGCTAGCCTTATGATATCTAAGCACTTACTGGCACTCTTCAAAACCCAACCTAATGGTGCAAGAGTCATGTGCTGTGACTCACATACACTGCCTTGGCAGTAAGAACTAAGAGGGAGGGAAAGCAGCAGGAACCACACTACTATCCTTCTTGTGAAGTGTCTGTCAGCATGATAGGCAGAGGGAGGCCAACACCACTGGGATATGGGCTGACATGAAAACAATGACCAACCTGCAACCATGGCAGCCTTCTTGGGGACACCTATGAGAATCCAAGTGTGACCAGTGATTGACTTTTGACTTCTAACACCTTTGAAGATGAGTAGGTCAGGCAAATAAATAGGGATTTTTGGATTGTCCTTTAGTTTCAAAGGCATATCTTTGGAGTACAAAAGACAATCAAGAGTATTAACAAGCCATTCCTGGGGCAAAAGGAGGCTTGATGCAAAGCAAAATATATACATTCTTTTCAGTTTGGATCTTTAAAAACCCCTATTCTTTCAAAAAAGAGAACATAGGGACAATGCAAAACCAGGATAACCATCACATATACTATTATGAAAACAAGTGCATAGGGAAGGCAGGTCAACTTGTATTGATATTCACTTTGTCATCCATATTCCAGGCTTTTTTTGTCCAATTCCTTAATATCCATAAATCTCATTCTCCACCCAGGCTGATTCCTTGCTCCTCCCCACACGATCTCCACACAGCTCATAGATATCATTGGTCACAAAGCCACTTTCAGTACTGGCCAATGTCACAAAGCCACTTGTTGATGTATTCATTGCCACATCGTCATAATCCCTGGAGAGGCTGTCAAGCACCTTATCTTCCTGTGTACGGAAGGAAGAATTCTTAGTGTCAGGCCTTGTTCCAGCCAGATCTGCTTCTGATTGCTTCTTGATTACTTTGTAAATATCCAGATTTGGACTGTTCCTTCTGGGGTTAGACAGCCATGCATCTTCCTCCTTTGGGCTTGCATCTATTTGCTCCTGTCTCCTTAGGGATGGAGGAAAGAGAACAAGACATAATATGCTTTTTTACAGAGGCAAATACAAAAACAATACCACACCTCATTTAATGATGACCCATAAGGAAAGCTGACACTCCGAGCCTGGACTCAGGATGACATTTGTTATTACTTGCAGTTCCAGGTGTGTGGCTGCAGGCTGCATGCTTGGGGTAGTCCCACAGCAGGACCTGCCAAGGTACCCCCTGTACCCTGCTGCTGGCTGAAATGCTGAGGCAGCAAAACTCAACACTGACACTCCCAAAACCACAGCCAGCATCCCCACCAGAGGTACTGTGCACACAGGGAAAGCAAGGAGAGGAAATTGGTAAACATTTGCTCCAAATGTATATCCTTTTGTTTTTATTACTATGCTTTTCATTTCTGAAGGGGGTCTTCTGATAACTCTTTAATAAAAAACCCTTAAGTGCTAACACTTCAAAATTATCATCTTGTTTTATACTATTCCCTAACTACTCTATGTCTGTGAACATAATACAATGGCATAAAGTGATTAACTTAGAATTTTACTTTACAAGTAACTCAGCCTGGAGCACCCATGCCACTTTTTAAACATTTATTTGGCTGAAAGCAATCCTCTCCAGAGCATCTTACAGGATCCTGAAGCTAGCTGTAAAATGATTGCCAGGACAAGATATCACAGGTTCACTTGTTACACAAAAATATCACTTACCTCTTCATAAAAAGCCAAAACCAGAAGATGAGTATAACGACCATCAGGAGAAGCAGCACAGGAATGCTGGGAATAAGGATGTAGGCAAGACTCTGAACAGGTTCTAGGGGTAAAAATGAGATTCTGGCTTTTATTCACTTCCAGTTGCATTTAACATGCGCAGAACTTCATAGAAAAACTAACAGTTGCAAAAGGCAGCAGCATCACACCTCAATGGGCTTCTAGCCTTGTTCATAATCTAGCAGTATCTACTACTTCTTAAAGGCAGCAAGTCTAACAGAGACTGATCATCTAGTTAAGCAGGTTAAAGTAAAATAAGCTCAAATTTTCAAGGTGAGGAACCAACAAGCCTCACTGTCTTACTGTAAGAAGGCTACTGTAGTGCAAGTTAATGAGATATGCTGTCTTTTAAAAGCTCAGGAACCCCCAGCCAAAAGATATCACAGAACAAAATGTCTTTTATGACCTGTGAATTTGTAGGGGGGAAATCAGTGTGGTAAGAAACTGAAATTTTTCCGTAGTTAATAATAGACTTACAAACAAAACTAACAATTTAGACATTCAAAAGTGATTGAATAAATTAAAAGTGCCTCTTCCAGACCCAAAATACTTTGCACAGCTTTAGATTTATAACATTTTGGTAGCCAAAGCAATCGGCTTAGGTTTGTACTGGAAGAGATTTGAGGGAAGGTTTTTTTGGGTTTTTTTCAGATGCAGTTGTCTAAATTCAGTCTTCTACATTTAGGGTCAAACACTTCAAACAGCAATGTTGACTGTTTGCAGCCACACGTGTGAAATGTGGGCCTGCATAGTTACAGAGAGCAGGCCAGCTGCTGAATGCACAACATACCTTTGGCTTCTACAACTGTTACATTAGCATCTTTTTTATGGCGTTCTACTGGGAATACTGGGTTCGAGGGCTCTGTTGCCAGATCTGGAAAGAAGCAGCTTAATTAATATTGCAAATGTTATTTGAAAGAGTTTAAGAATCATAAAAAGTGAGGGTCAGAGGAGATTTAAGAGACTGCCAGCTGCAAAGATGTGTAAGGTGTACTGGTACTCTTTTGCTTAGATTTCTGCAGCATGGCCAGCAGTCCCAGATACTGCATCAATGTACCTGCGAAATGGGTTATGGAATACCATGAGGAAAGTGCAGACTGCAGGGAAGCTTCTTGATCAGTAGGTTTTCAGTCTGTCAGCGTCATTGACAATGAATGCAACAGTATTTCTACTGAAAGTTAGCATATCATTAAAAAATGCCCCAAACACATATCTTAACTTACCTCTTTGAGAATTCTCTACTGGAGTATTCTTTGGCTTCTCTAAAAGAAAAGAGATATACACAATTTCCACATAAGCTTGAGTATGTACTGAATATAGTCTAATAACATGAGCACCCTTCTTTAGTTTTCTCTCTCTTGGGCCCCATTTGAGATCTCAAATACTTTATAAAAATCCTCTGAGAATTCATATAAGTCAACTAGACAAGTAGCTACAGATATTAGATACTGAGATTGTTTTCCCCAGGACTTGAATAAATTTAAAGACATCTGTCTCCCACCACATCTTTCCAGTAAGCTAAGAAAGGGTTTCCCTATTTGTTACTGCAATCTCCTGATGCCTTCTCTTGGGAACTGGGAGAAGGTTGGGTTTTAAAGCTACAGAATGACTCATTACCAAGAGAATATTTGCAAATGAAGTTATTTTTCATGTTGCATCTGTCATCGTTCCATTGAAACATGTAGGGACCTCCAACACCTGGTGGGGCAGATGGCTGGTGGTACATCACAACACAGATTTCACTCCCACAGGATGGTTCATCTACATACCAGTTCCTAAGAAAATAAAACAAAACATGTCAAGACTTGACATCACTTTCCATGGTACTGCAGAAGCTCAGATGGAAATACAGCATACAGGGCACCACAGAGGGCAGAAACCTAGAGGATTTCAGCTCAGCACACCCCACCCTCACCCCCCAGCTTCCACTGTGTAAAAGTAGGAAAAATGACATCATTATTTACAGTGTGTCTTCTCTTTTTGGAATTCTTAATTTTAAAAGAAAACTGAGCAAGCAAGGTGTTCAACAAATGTTAGGGAGTGAAGGACTGAGTACGTCACTGCCTGAAACTCTGTGAGGCTGAGTGAAAGCTCAGGAGAACTCTGACTCTCTCCACACAATTTTAGACCTGTACAAAATCATCTATCAAAATGATTTTTGTTCTCTGGCCTCAGTGCCCAATGCCTGCAAAATTCTGATACCTATTTCATAAGAAAATGAAAAAGCTAAAGCAGGACCTGTTTTTTGCTATCTAGAAAAACGCTAACCAAAAAACCTGTCTTGTGGATTGTTTTTTTTTTTAGTAACAAACTTCACTGGAAAACCATTTAGGCCTTTCCAAGTTGTACACAGGAAGGAGGCTTCACTATTTAGCACTCTAAAACAATCGTTACTGAAGAGGCATTTTATGCATCTCAGAGAAACACTTCTAAGACTGCGTCCTGATTTTGAAAAAATGTTCAATTTCCACCGATTTTGGAACAAGCAATGTTCTGCATGCCAAGCACTTTCTGAAAGCTGATCCACACAACATAAATAATTCCAGATATACCAAGGTATTCAACATGAGTAAAACCTCACACATATTAAAGCAGTATTTTTTCAATCATTACAATGCTGTATTCCTCCCTCACTTACTTCCTTCTCTCCTACATGAGGTTAAGCCACATTAAACCATGACATACTTCTTTAGCACAGAAAGGCATACCTTGTAGGCCTGGATCTAAGAATATCTTTTACCTAGAAAACTGAGTTATGATTGAAATCAAATATAATTTAGCAGAACTTTTGAGGCTATGCTGAACAGAAATGTGAAAGTAGTAAAAACAACTTCAGCAAACTTGTATCGGTTGTAAATGTTGCTGACTTTGTATTTTAATTACAGCAAATGCTCTGGTTCCACTTGCCATAAGACAAGGAGGCAGAAATGTAACAAGTGCTGTGAAAATGTTCTTTTTTTTCATATCTACAGTAAATACTGCAGTTTTCCAATTTTACTGTCTCAGAGGGGAAAAAAATGCTATTCCCTCAGCAAGTAGAAGGAGAAAGGCCCATCACTCAGGACATCAGGGACAAAACTTCAGGGGGTCTGAAGTACAGAAACCTTCAAGTTGAAGCACTTATTTCGTACATGCCTAATCAGAAATTTTAAGACCAGATCACTTGTTCCTCCACCTCCTTTCAGCAATCAAAAATTATTTTATTGATTGTCAGCTAGACACTCCAGGTGTCTTATATAGAGCAACAAAGAGAGAGCAGGATCTCTGGAGGGTAATTTGTCTACCCCCTACATCTGGATGGGATGAATCGCTCTCTGGAGATACTACCACTCTTCAGTGACTGCAGAAGGAACAGAGGTGACGGCTGGGACAACACTGCTTGATTCTTTTGAAAGAATCCTTTCAGATTGCTAAAGGCAGGTGACAGTCCCTGACCAGGTTGCTTCCCAGTCTCACTCACCAGTACCTACCGGAACTTGGAAGAGCTGCCATCTGACCAGGAGTACAGGTTCTGACAGTCTGTACTATTGTCTACCTCCTCCTTTTTCCTCCTAAGCCCTATCCAAAAATCTCCGTCAGAAGCTAAGAGACTCTCAATACATTGTTCAATCAGTCTTTGCTCTGCTTCTGTTTCAATGCTGACTAGATGTCCACCATCAGCTTTGCAGGCAAGGTGTGCTTCTTCATAGCTGGTCCTGCGTGAAGCATCATGAAAATAAACTATTTTGTAACGTGGTTGCTGTGTTCCACCCCAACAAACTGTCTGCCCTGCAGAAATGGAAAGAAACCTGTTACAGACACTATACCTGTTAGCCACAAAAGTGGACGCTAATACTTCCATTTGGTTGAGTTTTGTGCTGTATGATAGTTTATATGGAAAACACAACACAGGTAAAAAGCCTCTTGTATTACTGGACTGGCAAATGGCATCTCCAAACTTTTCTTACTGCATATAACAGCAATTTGAAGACCCCAGGAGTTCATTACTATCTGTGCCAGAGAGCAAGCCCAGGACTTTCTCACACATGAAGCAGCACAGCTTATTTTGATTACAAGGAAAGTAAAGATCCAAGTGAAAGGATACATAATGTAAAATTATGCACTTGTATGTTTCTCAGCAGAAGAGTCCCAATATTTAGACTGTGGAAACAAACAGTTTTGTTTTACTCAGTAAATATTTCTTTTCAAACACTCCGCAGACACAATCTGCTAACCTACGTGTTTTTCAGAAGAAAAACACTTAGCAACATTTGTAGTGTACTCTGAACAAATGGGATGTGAGGACAGGTCATTATAAATCCCTTTGAGGGATATATGCTCACTTTTCTTTATTCTTATATATTCCTGCATGACCACTCTAAGAGTGGGAATTTAAACACCTTTCATAATGGAATTTTTCAACATTTAAGTACTTGGAATCACAGGGTCTGCTAACATTTTACACAGAAATGAAAACCGGCTGTACTGCAAAAGCAGTATTTAAAAACACATCTCTAGGCATAACCTGTATTTCTCTTGGTAAATTAACACTCATGCAAGCTTGGTGAAAAAGGAAAAAACCTTACCTCTTCGGAGGGATATGTCCACTGCTATTGTGAAAGACAAGAAAAACACAGATAGCACATTGTTATTAAAAATGCAGCAACTGTCTAGAAAGTGTCATAAACTGCATTCCGGTTCTTTTCTGATACAGAAACGTTTTTTTTTCCCATTAACTGGCAGAAAATCTCTGTCTTATCAGCCAAACTTGCCATTGCTTTCAGCTAAGGAAAAATTTGTTGTAGTTGATTACCATCCAGACTTCACTGCTAGTTAGGTTTCCAAATATAGTTCAGGTAACAAAGGACAATTGGATATGTAGCTCTAACCAACGCTGAAAGGGTTCCTCCTATTTTCCCCTTATCTCCTCATTTCCTACGTGGGATCTGCCTCAAAGCCTGCTGACTTCAGTGAGCCTTGGTAATGCAAGACTAGGGATGGGTCTATTATACTGAAAAGTAAAAAAATTCATTAAAAGAAATTTATCTCCAACCCCACAGCTCGCAGCTGAGCCCTCTAACTCACTCCCACAAGTCCTACTGCAGCCATAAGCATGGCAGAATTAAGAGTGTATTTATAGGTAAAACTATTTGCCTTATGTTGGAACAACGTGAACATTCCATGAGCTTTTTGCTGAATATACCAACCTAACAAGTCAGACAGAAACTTTCCCCAGACTGGCTATTCTGCACCCTAAAACCAGACTAGACTACGTAGCTTGGGTGGTACAGCCAAAGCTACTGCGGGTCCGACCTTCAGCTGCCATATACCTATTCCTATGAAAGGCGCCTAAATAGGCAACATTCCTTTGCACCAAACCAGGAGGACAGTCTGACGATCACAAGAGACTTTGTGCAGGAAGAGTAAGACAACCTATTGTTGGCTGGAAACTCAGCCAGGCTGGAAATTACCACTGCGGCTCGGGGATGGCAACAGCAGTTCTGTTAGCCAGGGCAGCGCTTGGAATCTCTAGAACCGAGGCAGAAATGCAGCGGAGCGAGCAGAAGGGTTTCTCACTGGACGGGGAAAACGAAAGCGGGCTATCGGTGTGCCCCCTTCGGGACCAGGAACGCAGGGGTGCTCCCACCCGGCGCGGAGGATGCGGAGGGCTCCCCGGGGCAGGGCTGGTCCCCGCCGGGGAGGCAGAAGGAGGGAGTCGCCGCACAAGGCACCGCACGCACACCCTCGCCCCCGGGGGCAGGGGGGAGCGGCCGCCGGAGCT